CCAAACCCAAGCGGAAGCCAGAGAGCAGGGCCATACAGGTGATGCAGCCCCTAGGTGTCAGCCTCCCAAGGCAGATCAGGGCAAATGGAACATAACCAGCAGCCCCAGTGTGAGAGCATGGGTTGGGAGGAGAAGCTTATAAATTGGTGGGGAGAGAGAGACTACATGATCTCCAAGGTCCTTAATAAAACAAGTCCAGGGCGCTGTGCGAGGCTCCCTGCCATCCTTTGAAAAAGAAGGAAACATCTTTCAAAGATCCCGCCAGACACATAAATGGGTCCAGGATGACGCACTTCAGGGGCGGGCTGGTCGTGGGGGCTGTTCTAGCCACGGTCAGCAGAAACCCCCCCAGCTCTGCAACAGTTCTGTAGCCACACACAGTTGCCGTCGTCCTCAGAGCTGCAGCCACCTGCAATCACACCCTGAGCCCTGCTCCTCCGCCACTGACTTGTGGCCGCAGAGACAGCTTGTGAGTTAAACGACCAAACAGGGAGAACTGAGAAGATCTCCTTGTCACAGCTCATGTCCACCCTATAACAGATGTGAAAGTGTGCAGCCCTGGATGTCAGCCTCAAAAGTGTCCTCAACACACCCCTCAATGGCCCCTTGACCCTGTAATTCTTCACTTTATTGAAACACTTCCTCCATTGCCACAGGGTTCGGGGTGATCTACACCACAGCTCAGATTGCAGAGAAAACAGCTTTTTAAATTTTGTACAGGGTAGATCCAATCTTCCTAACCTAGTACTAACCACTGAGCAGAAAGAAAAGCAAAATACCCTTACTCCATTTCAGAGACTTCATCATGCGTTAGTTTACATTATTGCTCTCATCCTTGTCACTCGGGCAGCTCAGTGTCAGCTCTCCATCCCCTGCTCTTGCCTCTGCTGAGTGGGATCTGGGATCTGGGTGGGTGGGTCTGTGGCTTGTGCCCCCATGGCAGAGAGATGGGCTCTCACATCTGTGAGGTGGCTCTGACCCTCCGTGGACTCCGCTGGTTTGCCTCTGGCCTGGCCTGGCCTGGCTCCAAGAATAGGATTTCAGTGTGGTAGGGACCTGGGGAGGTCTGAGTCCAGGAGGGGGTCTGGCCTTTGTGCAGCCAGGTGTTGCTCACTGTGTTTATTTTGCACAGCCCAGATGAGGTCTGAGCTGGGTGGTCTGTGACGAACCCACACCCAGCCCGACATCAAACCAGGAGTCAGCTGGTCCCAGGGCAGACCCAGGGTGCTCAGAAGCCCCATTGTCCCCTGGGGGTAGGGGTGTCTGAGCTGCACTTCTGGGCTTCCTAACTGGGCCCTTTCATGCCACTCCCTCTACAATCCACCCAAAACCCCTGGGCTTCTGGCCCAGGACTCCCAGAGCTGATGAGTGGGCTGTGGCCCAGGAGAAACCAGCCAAGATCAGGCTGACTCTGCCGGGCTGTGGCCTGGAGGAGAAATCCTGGCTCTCCTGAGGAGTGGAGGGTGGCAGAGGGCTGCAGGAGGGCCTGACTATCGTCTGGCGGGAGGCCCCCTGCCCTAGCCCCACCTCCCAGCACTGGATCACATAATAAATGGATAAAGCTTGTACTTAATACATTAGCAAAGCTGGATCACATACCCAAAAAAGGTGGTGGTAGGGGGTCTTGATAGCTGAGAAAAATCATCAAAACGGTGATGCCAACTCTGTTGTACTTTACAGTTAGGCCTCAGGGCCTGTAAAGGTCTGAACGTGGTCCCTCACACTGACCTCTCCCTGCTCAGAAGCCCGATACATGGCAGTGGCTCTCTGTTGCCCATTCTGTGACCTTTGGCAGATGGTTAACGCAGCTTAACTCACACTCCATTGACATTTCCCAGCTGCCCTCTGCCAGGCCCTGAGCAGATGCCGAGGAGACAGAAGTGGATAATACACGAGGGGCTCACAGTCTCACAGGGGAGACAGGCATACACAACCAATGATAATGAGAAGAATTGCTATTTTGAAATGCCTTCTATGTGCCCAGTTGTTACGTACATGATCTCTATTCCTCCCGATGAGCCTGGGGTGAGTATATCTCCAAGTTATTGATGGGGAAACTGAAGCTCAGAGCAGTCAGGACCACCCAGCCAATAAGTGGCAGAGCCCGGATTCAAGTGTACGGCCGCTCGTCTGATCCACGGCCCTGCGCCACCTGTAGCCACAACGCTTCGGGCATCAGGAGGGTCTCCTCCCAGACGCCCAGGCCTGTGGCAGAGGCTGAGTCTGTTCAGCTGTCGTTCTCAGGCACAGGCCCGTATGGGCCCTGCCCTGTGCAGGTAACTGGCTCCCCTTGATTCACCTGAGGGGCTCCCTTAGGCCTCCGTGTATCGTGCACTGCAGGAGGCAGCAGCAAGAGAAGGGGTGCTCGCTGGCAGATCTGGACACCAGGGGTTCAAGGCCTGGCAAAGCTCAGCCTCCATGTGGGGCAGGGCCTGCTGCTTCCACCGAGAACCACAGCAGAAAGCAAATGGCTTGCGTGTGCGTCGGAAACACCAGGAAATGGGTTCCCCTGTAAAGGTTTGATGAAAGGACCATTGTGGGCAGAGTGTAGGCAGGATCAGGGAGATGAAAACAGGATTACCAGATTTAGCACATAAAAACACAGGATGCCCAGTTAAATTTGGATTTTATATAAACAATAAATAATTTTTTGATAAATACTTATAGCTATAATACTTAGGACATACTTATACTGAAAAATTACTCATTATTTATCTGAAATACAAGTCTAACTGGGCATCCCGTATTTTCTTCTGGCAATAGGAAGTTAGGGACACTTGTGGACTACCTACAACGGGCAGCTCAGCTGGGAAGGTGATGGGAGGGAACTGCCCCCAGGGACCCGGTGGATCTAGAGCTCTCCAAGGGCAGAGGAACAGAGCCAGCACCAGAACTCAGCAAGGCAGAGAGGGAATGAGCAGAGGGGTGAGGAGGGGCAGAATAAGTACCCCCATCTCACTCTCTCCCCGCCTCTGATCTCCTGCTGGATCTCTCTTCAACAAGGGAGGCCCTTGATGCAGTCCTCAGGGGGTCCTTGGCACAGAGGAGGGCAGAGAATGGCTCTGAGCAGAGAGACAAACAGAAAAATATCCAACACAACTCACATGCAGACTTCTATCCTCTCCTCACTGCGTCCTTAGCGATTTGGACTAAATGTAGTACTACTTCCCTCCTCTAGGACCCACCATGGCTCCCACTGCCTACAGCAGCAAGTTCAATCTCTTCAGCGTTCAGGAGTCTATCCCTCTGCTCCCCTGAAGCACCCAGTGCTCTGAGCAGGCAGGAATCCAGGGAGAACAGTGAATTCATTGTGGATAATCCAGCCTCAGGGCCTTTGCTCTTGCTGTTCCCTTGGGCAGTCAAGGAATTTAGAACTGGAAAGGCCCTCAGGGGAATCTGTCCTCACCCCCTTCTGGGCAAAACAGGAAACAGGGGAAGGACGCACTTAAAGCTACTTCTCTGCCCAGCCAACCCTCCCTGGTCTTTAAGGCCCAACCACTGTGTCCGCCAGGAAGTCCTGGAGGGCTGCTGGCACCCTCGGACCTGCCGCTGGGGTTCTCTCCCCTTCTTCCGGGCTGCCCGGTCCCTCCTTGCTGCCCGTCTCCATGTTGCTTCTCCCTCACCAGAATACAAGGGTCTTTTTCTAAGTTTGCCCTCAGCCCAGTGCTGGGAATGTGAACGCAATGATTTTCTTTTTAAATTACATCCTTTGATTATAGTTCAACAGTTTAATCATAGTTATTAAATAACTAAAGATCTGCCTAATTTGGTACTCGCGGTACAATGAAAAAAAAGCACACAGGCTTTGGAATCAGATAATCTGGGTTTGTTTACATTTTTTTTTTTCAATAAATCTTTGCTGAGTTTACTCTGGTGAAAGAAGTGCTTATTTCAGCTGGAAGTGTCCCACAGGATCGGGGATGCAGGGTCCTTCTTGGTAGAGTGAGGACACTCCATTTGCTGTCTGCGCCACTTCCTCCAGGACACAAGAGCTTTTTTGTGTGTGAGGAAGATTGGCCCTGAGCTAACATCTGTTGCCAATCTTCCTCCTTTTTTTTTTCCTCCCCAGAGCCCCAGTACATGGTTGTACATCCTAGTTGTAAGTCCTTCTAGTTCTTCTATGTGGGATGCTGCCACAGCATGGCTTGATAAATGGCATGTGGGTCCACACCCAGGATCCAAACCCGTGAACCCTGGGCCACCAACAAACGAGGAGCAAGCGACTTGAACACTACACCACCAGGCTGGCTCCGTGAGAACTTTTTAACAAGATTAACTTTTTAATATAAAGTTTAATTTTTTAATTAAAATCAAGATTACCAAACATCTTTTTCATGTTTTTTTCTTGCAAGGACTCGATTCAAATGATTTGTGGTGCTTTTTCCATGGGAGAAAGAGTTTTCGCTAGTGTTTGTTGTTCTTAACTTGTGGTCCCTGGATGGGTTTCAAGGAGTCTGTGAGGTCTTCTAAAGAGCAGAGAACGTCGTGTTTGGTGTTGCCTGCAGCCCCTCGGCCTCTTCCTCAGCTCGGCTCGCACGTCCCCGAGAGCCCTCTCCACTCAGGGTGGCCAGATGTCCCCACAATGTGCTAGAGCACCAGCTTGGGGAGGTGGGAAAGGTCTAGAGGTTATTGACAATATATCTGCACACACATCAACTGTTCATTTATGCTCGTTGATAGTGCAGCTTCTATGATATTATTTTTTAGAAACAGTTCTTTGACTTCGAAACAACGTTATGCAGTTATCTGTTAGCGTGTTTGCGGTGTCTATGTATTCCGAATTTTCATATTTCTGAAGAAACAGCTTTTAAAACAATCTGGCGCAATCTGTCCCCTATTTTCTATTTCAGCCATCATCTATTTCCTTAGGAACGAGCGACAGCGGAGGTACAGTGCTGTCATCCAACCTGCACACTTGCAGAAGCTTTGCCCGTCCCGCCCTCCTGCTCCCCAGCACCACCACCAGCACACTGCCAGCAGCTTTGATAACATAGCTCAGCCGCATGCACACACAGTCCTTTACGAGTTAATCACTTAACAGTTTTCCCCAAGAACAATGGTCACATTATATTTGTGGGACCCGAGGGCCCTTTTTGGTGATGAAGAAAAGAAGGCAGGAGGCAGGAAAGAAGGAAGATAGGAAGGAAAGGGAGGAGGGGAAGGAAGGATCTGCCCTCAAGGCTAATTGAAGCTTCCACCTCTGGCATCAGAAGCTACTCGCCACCCTTCCCCACTATGGCGGCATTAAAGCTCTTAGGGTTCAGCCTTAGTTAGAAGCCTGTGTACAGGTGTGAGCGTGCAGGTGTGTGATGTCAGCCTTCATGTGAGGTTTGCATGTGCTGAAACAGTGTGCTGGGTTACATTGGCATATCCCCAGGATGCTCTGCCCACGCTGCCATCTGTGCCTAAAATAGCCTTCCTCTGCCATTTTCACGTTTTGAAAACCTCATAGTCCTTCCAACCCACCTCCTCCTTGGAGCTTTGTCTGACATTTTCCTTCCGTCTACTGCAATCACTTTCTGTCATCTGCTGGGACCTTTAGGGTAATGGCAGAATCTAGTCCTGAGCCAGTATAAAGGATGTTGCAAAAGGCAGAACACAGCACAGGAGTATTATGGGACGAGTACTGGGACTGACCGCTGGAGAGAAACAACATAAAACGGATCTCTGGCATGCAGTGTGATTGTCTCGTGGGGGCGCCGCCCAAGGGAGGCCAGGCTCTGAGCAGGAGGAACAGCTGCAAGGAATCAACAGCTGGCCACGCAGGCAGAGGGGGAGGGACCCAACCGTTCCTTTCTACACACTGTGATTTTTTTTCCTGAGGGTAAAAATGGGGCAGAGGAGGTGCTCAGGAAATATTCTTGAAAGAGAATGAATCAATGGTTTTCCAGAGGTTGGGGGGTTCCCAGGGGCTGTGAGCCCCAGGAATCCAACACACTGGGTCTTACGAAGAGAAATGGAATTCCCAAGTCTCGGCTGCAGAGGAAGCAATAACTTTGTTCGGCATAACTTGTATGTCAGCAGGGCCCCCAGCCCAGGCTGCTGAGGGAGCGGCTGGGTCCGGCATCCCACAAAGGCCCTGGTTTGGCGCAAGACTCAACAGCAACATCAAAGGAAGGGCTTTAAAGGATCCTCTGGATCTGATTTCTCTCTGCATCAAATTTTCTGAGGCTTGAACATCAAAGATTGAGACTGGGGTGATTTCAACTTTCTTCTTTATACTCTTCTGGGTTTTAAAAACATTTTGTTCTAATCAGAGTATTTTACCACCCCCACCCCGACACACACACTTTCATGACAGCTCCCATCCCCTTCTCTGCACATCTGCCACTCCACTGGTGTTTCGTGGATGTCCAGAGTCATTGTCCAGAAGTGCCTGGCCGCGAGGTGAGGCCGAAATTCAGCCTGAGCCCCGTCTGTCAAGCCCCGCTTCAGAGCAGAGGAGGGCCGCCTTTTCGTGATTTGTCTGCCCAGCCGGGCGCCTGTGTCTAATTCCCACACAGCCCTGTGTGTGCCCGCGGGAGCCAGGCTGGGATTCACCAGGGAGCAAGTCCAGGCGAAGAGACCTGGTGCTGTCGCCTTTACCCTCGGGCTGTGCTGTCAGTCCCTGGGGTCTCAGCCGCCTTTGCTGGGCAGCCTGCCTGCTGGGCAGCACTGTCGTCACTTCGGGACCCCACTGTGCTGGTGATCAGGGCTCTGCAAAGGGTCCCACAGCGGCACCATAGCCTCTGGGATCCTCAAAGCCACATCATTCCAGGAAAATCGCTACACGTTGCCTCATGGTTTCAAAGCCGGAGCTGCAATCAGTCAGGGCTTTGCCACAGCCCAGCATTCTATTTTAGCCTAACTCTGGGCTTCACGGAGCTGTTGAGGACATAGGGGTGCCGGGCAAGGGGACAGTCTGTGGGACAGCACTCGCTGATCTCCAGTCGGTCCTCCTCGCTGAGGGCCGAGGCTTCATACTGCTTCAGACTCACCATGTTGGGATCTCTCCTTGAGGGTACGCTCTGCCTCTGATGTGGATGCTTCCCCGGGGGTTCCTTTGACCCCCAGGCAGACAGATTTCTTCCCCACCAGTGACCCAGACAGACCCACACACGTCTGCCCCCAGCTCAGGGACAGCCATGCTGCTGCTCCTCCCAGTGTTACTTTTATTATCAGAAAGAACAGGTTGGTCTTCTTTTCCACCTTCTTTCCTTTCAGATTAAATGGCAACATCCAACAGACTTCAGAAATTCTCAAGGTAGAGCGTAGGTGTGAGCAGACATGGCCGCTTCCTACCCAACAGCCTTCTCTGTCCACCTTTCTGTCTTGGTCCAGACCTGATGGCCACAAACTCAAGGTCCCCTTCCCAGCCTAGAGAGATGAATCTCAACTAGTTTAAACCATTCGTGGAAATTCCTTCTTCTTGCCAGTGGTCTTGGCACCTCTTGGGCACCAGTGTCTGGTCTGGCCTGGCCATCCTCTTGGGAATGGCCACCCAGGAGCAAAAGTCTTCCCAACACAGAGCCCAAACCCCGTGTGGTCAGCTCCAGGGAGGCCCTGACATGCACCTGGTTCGAATGGCTCCATTAATTCATATACCTTTAATTCTTCTAAATCAACTTTAATCTACCCTAGTGCTCTCACACCCCTACTAGAACTGTGTGGAAACTTTCGGAGTTTCCTCCTGTCATCAGTCATTGGCCGCCCCCAAATACCACTTGGACTCCCAATGACTTAGTCTGACATGGACCCTTCACGTCAGGTGGTTCTGTGCTTTCTGTACAATATCTCCAGTGCAGGAATATCTAGCAAGACTGGAAGCCCCAGGTTCTAGGGTCCAGGAGGCCCAGGCGCACCCAGGGACGGGCCTCTTCACAGGCCTCACTGTGAGCTCCCACAGGCTAGGGGATAAAATCTCTTTTCAGTGCTACTCTCAGAGGTGCCCCCTGCAGGACATCAACCAGCTCTTCCCGGAGACTCCTCAAGACCTGCTTTGCAAAATTCCCTCAGGCAAGAACATAGCCAGGTCTGGCTACCTGCTTGTAATGGGGAGGAGAAACAGCGAGAGAACACGTATTAATATCTCAGTGAATTGTCCCTTCATCTTTTCTAGGAAATCTGACTCCTCCTGTCCCGACCTGCCTTCTAAGAACAGTGAGAGTCTAGAGGCAGAGGGACAGAGCTGTGAGGGGTGGTGCTGGGATTGGCCATTGAGTGAGCCGTCTTGGAGGAAGCCTGTTGGCCAGCCCAGCAGGGGAACGACGGCTGTCTTGGTCCTGAGGGCAGGAGGAAGTCACAGTCAGTTACCCTTACAGGCCAGAGTTTGGGTTTCTAGAGCTCCAGGGATCACCCCACATATGTATGTGTCTGGCTCTGACACCAAGAACTGAGATTCAACAAGTCCAGAGGGGGCCAGATGCAGTGGTGCTGGGCCATGTAGGACAGACGGACAAGGATCAGGATCTCAGGACCCCAAGACCTGGCGGGGAGGTGGCCTCGTGTGCTGATTCATAGACTGTGATAAGCAGGATAGCCTCAGTCAGGGCGCCTGATATTCGGACAAAGAAGCCTAAAAAGTTGATTCCAGCTTGCGGGGTGGGGGCGGGGTCTATGGGATCTTAGACGGCCTCCTGGATGAGGTTGGGTTTAAGCTGACTTTTGTTAGGAAGCTGACAGGAGACAGATGGGAGAATGCATCCTAGACAGAGGTGACAGCTTCTGGAAGGGAGAGACATCACAGCTATGTGGGTAGGGGGAAGAGCAGTGGAAAATAAGTTTAGTAAACCAGCCTGTGACCCAGTCACAAAGATCACTGAATGGCTGACAGAGGGGTGTGCGTTCAACTTCAGTTGGCATTTTTATCAGTCTACATGCTTACAATTTAAAGGTCCTTGTCCCCAGCCCCAGCTCTCACCTTCTCCTCCCCCCGCAAGCTTCCAGCTAGTTCTTTTAGTATTTACCTGCGCTGCTCTAAATGTTACACTTACATTACTGCTATTGGATTATCCAATTTTGAGTGTCATTCATTGACTTTCTACTATGGAAGATGGGATTTCACTCCTTCCACCTATACATAAACATATTTCCTATCCCTGGAAATGTAGTTTCATTATAATTTTAGTTAGATCAATACTTTGCATATACATTATTACTGGATCAATGATACTCACAGCTGAATTATATAGTATATTATAGTAACTTTTTCTTCTTTGCTTATTTTTGTGTTTTTCCTGAAATTAATTATCGTCTTTTGTTTGTTTTAATTTCTTTGGGTTTCTAATGACTTATCACTATCTAAACCCCAAAGTTTTTGTCAAGTATCTTATGAATCTCCTTTCAAGATATTCAGACGCACGGCGACCTACCAATTTTGTCTTCCTGGGAAGTCCGTCCTTCAGCCCTGCTCCTGTCTGGATGACTCCCCAGAAGGCCCGAGCACACGCATCAGTGGGAGATCCCTCCACCCCTCTCCTGGGTTAGTGTCACCCCCATATTTTGGTGGAGCACATCCCCCAGTAGCTTCCTTAGAGAAAGTGCATTCAAGGTACATTTTCTGACTCTTGAATATCTGGAAAAGTCTTTTTTCAACCCTTGCAGTTGATTGATTGTCTGGCTGAATACAGAATTCTAGGTTGGAGATATTTTCCTCTAGAGTTTTGAAAATATTGCTCCATTGCCTTAAAAAAATGTTGCTGTTGAGAAATATGAAACCCTTTTGATTTCTGCTTCCTTTGTACGCAAGAGGACTTTTCTTTTTAATATTTTTGTTGTGTGTGTCCCCAGTGTTTTGAAATTTCACAATGACTTGCCTTGCTGTGGGTCTCTTTCCATGCACTGTGCTGGAGTGGTCCCTTTTGATGTGGAAACTTTTCCTTCAGCTCTGGGAAATTTTCTTGAAATATTTCATTGATGATTTTTCTCTGTCAGTAGGTATTTTTTCCCACCCTCTAAATATAGATGGAAATATCCTTTCTCCCAGAATGTAACCAGATCTTGTGGTCCTAGAATGTAACCAAAGAAGTGAGTTATGGGAGAAGTATGAGCCAAGACATCTAGTTAAGTCTGTCTGGAGTAGGAGTTGAAGCCTACGCTTACTGTGGACAGGGAGTTCCGTGGTCTGCTTCCAGCGCCTCCTGAGGTCCTTCATGGTGGTGAGGGGCCTGGGATCCCACCTGTAAGTCCCACCTCATCAGAGAGGCTTCCCCCTGCGGCCTATCTAAGGTAACACCCTATCTTAGTCCATTTGGGCTGCTATATAAACTGGGAAGCTTATAAACAATAAACATCTATTTCTCACGGTTCTGGAGGCTGGAAGTCCAAGATCACCGTGCCGGCATCGTCGGGTTCTGGTGAGAGTCCTCTTCCGGGTTGCAGACTGCCAACTTCTTGCTGTGTCCTCACATGTTGGAAGGGGCCAGAGAGCTCTCTGAGGTCCTTTTTATAAGAATGCTGATTCCATTCATGAGGGCTCCACTCTCATGACCTAATCACCTCCCAAAGGCCCACCTCCCAATACCATTGCCTTGGGGGGTCAAGATTTCAACATATGAACTGGGTTGGGGGGTGGACACAGACATTCAGACCACTGCACACCCCAGCCCTCAGTGCCAGGCATCCAACTCTGCTTGACTTTACTCACCACATCATAGGTGCTCAGTGTTTGTTGAATTGAGTCGAATTGGAGTATCTGAGTTACAATTTCTCCATCTTTAAAGTGAGAGGGTTGAAAAAAATGACCTCCATCCCCAAGAACACGTTCCTCCTTCCCCTCCAGACACCCTGGGACTTGTCTCAGCCTAATCCTATCTTAGCCCGTTCCTCACTCCCATCGAAGTTACTAGGACACCTCCATTCTGTTTCTGAGGTTTCTCACCACCTGCCCCTGCCCCCGATCCCTATCACCTCCCTAGCATGGCTTTCCTCATGTGCTGCCTCGCCTCTAAGAACTGCTTCTTAACTCGTGTCCCTCCACCTTTGTTGTCCTCCAAAATATCCTCCCCACCAGCTACCAGAGAAATCTAAGACACAAAATAGACCCTGTCCTTTCCCTACTAGAACCTTGTCATTGCCCACCCCCAAAGGAGGAGAGATAAGAGAATTCCATAAACATCCACACTTTATCTGTTAATATCTTATCCTTGACAATGCCTGTCACATGGTTGTGCCATCTGAGTCCCATAACAGCCCTCTGACCCAGGCAGGAAAGGTGAGAACCTCTGGCCAGTGGACCCATGAGTGTCTGAGGGCTCAAGGAGGCATGTGTGGAAGCCAGTCAGTCCCCCTCCGCCGGCTGCACCCCTCCAAAGACGAGGTCTAATTTGTTGTTAGGAACCAGTCTCAAGTATGGATAACCCCAAGAACGGGACAGAGATAAAACCCAGGGAAGACAGCCTGTGGCGTCACAAAGCCAAGTGTTAAACGTCAGTCCTAGTGACTAGGGTGGCTGCCAAAACACTGTGGCTTCTGTGGGGGCTCCACGTAGTAAAGTGTCCTTCCGTCCTCTCCAGGACCCCATGGGAGGCTGGCATTAGGCAGCCACTTCAGGAGGTGCAGTGCCAGATGCATGATGTCGTGCCTTTCCGAGTCACCCTCCGGAGGGGCCAGAAGGGATGTGACCAGGAGGTGGCTGACCAGGACAGGACAATTCCCAGACTCCCCAGTGTGGAGTCGATAAACAGCCAGGCAGTGCGAGTTTATTTGGAACACACGTTGAGCCAGGGAAGCCCGAGAGAGGTAAACACCACATCGTCATTAACAAGAGACTAGATTTTTGTTAATGTGGTGAATGAAACTGATGTTTCCACCGGTCATCCCAATATCCAGAGCTACAAGAAATCTACTGGTTGGTAAGAGCGCCCTCATGTGTCACTTCGGTGTAATGTCAGCTTGGTCTCCGCAGCAGCCCGAGTAATTCCTCCCTGCCTCGTCTCCTCCCAGCCTCCGTCCCCTCCCTGGGTTCCTCTCCTCCCGTTTGCCTGGCAGACCCCTTTGTGGGCTCTGAAACTCGACGGGCTTCAGGGGGCTTCTCCCGCTGGGAGTGCAGCGGCCGGGCGTCTGAGTGTGAGTGCTTCTGTCACCAGACCGAACGTTTTAACCCTTTACGCTCGACATACGTTCACACTCTTAAAAATTATCGAGCGTCCCAGTATGTTTATGTGGGTTGTATCTGTTGATTTATACCACGTAAGAAACTAAAGCTGAGAATTTTAAAATAGTTACTAATTCTTTTAAAATAGCAATAATAAACTCATATTAACACATTTTAATGAAAAATAACTAGACATTTTGAGACAAAAAGAGTAAGAAGAGTGGCATTGGTTTACACTTTTGCAAATCTCTTGGATGTCTGGCTCAGTGTGAGAGAGCTAGATTCTTACATTTGCGTCCATTCAGTCTCTTGACATGTCACATGTCACGTAGCCTCTGGAAAACTCCATTGTACACTCGTGAGAGAAGGAAAGTGAAAAGGGCAAATAACATCATAGTATTTTTATGAAAACAGTTTTGACCTCGAGACTCCATGAAAGGGTCTTGGGAACCCCCAGAGGCCCCCAGACCACTTTGAGAACTGCTGAAGTAAGAATATGGTCACGTGAGCCACAGACGTGGGTACGGATCTGGACCTAATTTTTCTTTAATGGCTGTCTTTGACGTTCAGGCTCCCTTTGCTTTGCTATCCAGAGATGGCACTGAGGTGGGCGAGGGTCGTGCCCCTGTGACGTTCTGGGGGTCTCTGCTTTCTGCTACCCTAGCTCCCTGCTCGACTCCTCGCACCCTAAGCTTCATGAGGATTTAATCACTCTTTTCATGTAATAGGCAATGCCTGCAATGCCTTAACCCTCAGAGAAATCTCTAGATGGGGATTTCAGACAAGTGGAAGAGCCACCCAAGGGGGCATCTTAGGGCAGGAGATTTTGGGAGGTGTTCACAGCAGTCCTCGCCCCCCAGAGTTGGCTGCTGTGTCGACTGAAATTTCCAGGAAGGAGGTGGTCAGTAGTGATGCCCGGCCTTGGCAAATGGGGCTCTGGAGTGGTCCTGAGACAGCCACTCACTAGTTGTGTGACCTTGGGAAGATCTCTTTGTCCATCTCAACTTCAGTTTCCTCATCTGTAAAACTGGACTTATCGTACCCGCATCCCCAGTTGGGGTCAGACTTACAGATAATACGTGCCAAGCACTGAGGTGCTGGCCAGGGACTCAGGAGCCCCGAAGCCCCAGCCGCATCATTTCCTAATTGTGCGTGACCTGGGCAAGTTCCTTTTAGGAGGACTTGACCTTCAAAACGTTTCTAGAGCCTGACCACTTCTCACTTCTGTTCTCTTATCACTCTTGCCCCAGCCATGCTCGTCTTTCACCTGAATTAAGGCGGCAGCCTCCTGCTCATCTCTCTGCTTCTGGCCCAGCCCTCCAACCCTGGTCCACTCTCCATGCAGTGACTGGAATTAATTTCTAAGTCAGGTTATGTGATGGCTCTGCTTAAAACCCTCTACTGGCTTCCCATCTCATTCAGAACAAAACTCAAGTCCTTGCAATGGCCTTGTAGGCCCTACAGGATCTGCCCTGTCCCCTCTCTGACCTCACTTCCTACCTCTCTCCACTGTCTATATTCCAGCCACACTGGTCTTCTCCTGTGTCTTCAACATGCCAGGTGTCCTCTGACCTCAGGACCTTTGCACTTGCTGTTCCCTCTGCCCGAACCCTCTCCTCCAAACAACACATGACTTGTTTCCTCATTTCCCTCAGGCCTTTGCTCAAAAGTCACCTTTCAGAGAGCCTTCCCCTGGACACCCTATTTAAAAGAACATGCCGTCCCTCAACCCCTGGCATTATTTTTACTCTCCACATCATAGGTTTTCAATGTTTGTTGAACTGGGTTGAATTGGATTATCTGGGCTATAACTTCTCCATCTTTCAAATGAGAGAGTTGCACTAGAATTTTCAGGGGCCTACTAGCTCTAATGTCCCATAACTTTGTTTATGTCCCTGTGTTGGAAAATGACTTTTAAATGAAAGCACAATTGTATCTGTAGATGTATTTGTCTGCCTGCGTTTGACGAATTATCTCACATAATGAGCATGAATCCTGTTCCAGTCTCCTGATTTAGCAGACAGAACATCACAGGAGCACCAACCCTGCCCAGCTCAGTGCAATGTAGATTCTTTGGATGAGCAAAGAAAAGGGAACCTGAGCTCCAAAGACAGCTATTTAAAAACCAAGTTAGGTTCCAGCTCTGTGCCTGGGCCTGTGGCTCATACAACCCTATTCTTAACTCAGCAGCTCTCAACACCCTTTTCAGGGAGCCCTGACCTCAAAACAGAGAACTCATGGCAGCTCACCTCTTCCCCGACCCTGGCAGCAGCCCCCTAACTCCTTTCCTTGACTCCTGGCCCTGCTCCCTTGGGGCAGCCCATGATCTTTATCCAATGCTCCTGACCTCCTCTCCTCCAGTCCCTCCTAGGGCTTTGCCAGCATTTGCCAGGCGTTCTCAGGGCATGGTGGAGAGAATAGTGTCCCTTACCTGGGGGCACATCCTGAAGAGCCCACCACAGCTCAGATGGAATCAAAGTCTCCTGTTTTAGCTTTAAATGCAGGGGATTTTGTGTTGTAGGTTCCATAAGATATCCACTTTAAAATTTTAAATTTATGTATTTAATTATGTACTTTCAAGCAACTCAAGGAAGGCGAGTGACGTTTATCCTGGGACTTCTGAATTTCCTTGCACATCATCAAATGCCTCTGGAAGCGGGGTGCCACCCTCCTTTCCTTTCAGAAGCAACAACCTCCAGGAAAAGTCCCCGCTTCTCAGCGGAGGCGGGGTGGGGTGGCCGGGCGCTGAAGGGCCCCTGACCCGCCCTGCCCATGGCCCTGGTGCCGCGACCTCCCCTCCAACCTTGGTCCCATTCTTGCTCTTCTTTCCCCCTGGAAAGCTTCTGTCCCATGGGGATGGGTCCTGCTGGGTCTCTGGTGTCCTTCCCTCCGGAGCACTCCTCTCTGCCCCTGCTCCTATTTGGCATTGGTCACTGTGCTGCCCGTTCTGTCGCTTGACTCCTGGTTTGCGCCCCTGTCGGAGGGCGCGCAGCCGGGGGGCAGCCGGGGGCCTCAGCACGCGGGTGATGCTCCGTGAAGACAGTATGGGAGGTCCGCGGCCGGACGCTGAGGAGCCCGGCCGGCCGGCGAGGACGCGCCCGCAGTTCCCGCTCAGGCCGCACGGGGGGGCGTCTGGTCGGGCCCACGGCTGGCCCGCCCTGCCCCCGGTACCCGCTGAATTCTCGGCGCTTCCCGCCCAGCCATGGGGCGCCTCCCTCTGGGAAGGGGCCGGCCTGAGCCAACAGGATCCTGGGAGGAAGTAGAGCCCCTGGGGCGGGGGTCCTCCTTGGGTGGGATCTAGCTGGGGACGTGCGGGATGACCAGAGACCCTTACCTCCTGTCGACGCCTTCTGGAACATGGGGTCCAAATTGAGAATCACTATCAGCGTCCCGCCCACCCCACTCCTCCACCCCGGCGGCCTCTCACTGTCATCTTGGGCCTGAAAGCTGCAGTGAGTCTGTGCTTTGTCACTTAGCAGCTGTGTGACCCCGGATGAGTGGCTGCACCATTCTGGGCCTGGGTGGCCTCATCTAAACAAAGTTGAGATGCGGCTGTCTACCAAGAGGATTTAATAGAAGACAAGGGGTGTGCAAGGTGCATTGCGGGCACACGGTCGCCCCTTCTTCACTCCTGGGGTCTCTGGAGCAAGGGCCAGTATTCCCCGCTGACCTTGCCCTCGCCAGAATCCCTACTAGGACCACGACCCTGCAAGAGCAGCGCGTTGCCTCCTAGCCCTGAGAGCACTGTGGGGCGGGGAGCCGGGCATGTTGGGGCAAGGCCAGGCCTCAGGATGGGCACGGATTATGCGCTGATTATCTGAGTTCCAACAATGTCAGCGAACACACAAGGCACCTCCTGAAACCCTTCCAAGGCCTTCCTTAGGACCTTTGAGTACCATATTTCCTGGGACATCTCTGCCCTCAAAGCAGGTTGCTTTGTTGGGGGAGGAGGGCCGCGGGCGGTGGGAGGAGGGGCCTCTCCGCCCTCCCTGCGCATGTGCAGGATGCTCCCCACCGGTTGTAAATTTGAAAAGAAACTTTCTCTTATGTGTGTGCAAGAGGTGTGTGAGGGAGGGAGTGTGCGCGTTTCAGTTAATATTGCTTGAAACCAATTTCAAGGTGATCAAATAAGAGGCTTCCTGTTTACATTTCATTTTGATAATTGCCTATTACCACCGCAGCCAGAACCCCGGAGAAGCTGGGTGTCTGCAGGCTCCCCTGGGCTTTGAAGGAGCTCTGTCTGAGCTCAGCCTGGGCAGACTCCCAGGGATGCTGGGGGAGCTCGGCACTGTCCCGCCTCCCTTCCTCCCATGCCCCCTTCACACTGCGGCTCTCCTGGCCTGGACTCTGACCTCCCAGGGCTCCCAGCCTCCCTCGCCCTCCTCCACTCTTGCTGTCTGTTTCCTGGTGTTCTCCCCACTTCATCCCCAACCCAAATCTCCAGGAGGGAGGCCCATGATCTCTCCATCAGCCAGTAATCCTGAGGGGCTTCAGCGTGCTTCCCCGCCCCTCCACTCCTCATTGCTCTCAGGGGGCCTGGGCTGGCTTCACACCTGCAGCATGTTTTGGAACCTGAGTATTGCTAAGTATTAGGTGTCCCTCAGCATGTGTCACTGCAGGTGTCATCACAGCCTTCCCTCCAGAT